AGCAGTAAAGGATTGGTTGTCGTCGTCCACCGGTGGATTTGACACCTTTTGGGCACAGTATCACTCACAGATGATTATTAAACTTAATGAGATTCTGAAAACATTTGGCAAATCAAGGAGGATCCGAGCGAAGACTATCAATGTACCCATTTTTAGGATTTTATCTTCCGGAATCGTCACACATGCGGCCCTTAAACTTTTGGACGTTGAGCGTGAAAAAAATGTCGAGAATTGCAATTGTTACTTGAAGAACACTCACGGTCTCCCTTGCAAACATGACATTGATCTTAAAGAGAGTAGACGTGGTTATTGTGCTGAGGGAGTACACAATGCTGCAATTGGTACAAACCAGTACCCTCTAACAATGCAACAGACCGAGCATCTGTTGGCCCACGCCAGCCAGTCACCGCTTTCGGACGGGATTGCAATTTAACCATAGATCGCGCCTGTACAAAATATAAACAATCTTAATTATGCAACTATCTACTATATGCATTTAAAAAAGACAATAAAAATTAATATTACCTTTCCCTCCCAAATGTCATAGGCGACGTGCGCTCCGAAACTCGGTATCAAGTTATAGTCAGTAGGTCCACCAGGTGCCGAACCAGCCAACTTCCACGGACGAGTAGCAGTATCGGACGAAGTACTACCCCGACGATGAGTAGCACCACCAGATGAAGTAGCAGCAGCACCAATAGTCATGGATGCGGAATCAGTATTACCAACATCATCATCCTCATCTAATCCAAAATCTGGCACTGGATAAACATACTGACCCTCGAAACCTACATGTGAATCATCATCATCCTCATCGGTCTGTGCCTCTGGCTCCCTCAGTCGCAAATTACGCTCACCACGTCGTGTAGATCCAGTAACCTTACGTTTGTATGTCCTACCCTCTCTTTGTGCAGTAGTATCATCTACTGGTTCCTCGATTCCAGTAAATCCATCTGATATCATGCCACGTGTCATCGGTCCATTGCCCCGTCCGTGTGGCCAACTTGCCGACATCTACAAAAATAAATATACAAATTACTCAACTAATGAATAAACTAATTAATTAATAAAAAAAAATTGAAGGCTACTCGTCGACTTCTACAAAAATCAGCGTATACAAATATTAATTAACTAATGAATAAATAAATTTAAAAAAAAAAAAATTGAACCGGGCTTCCGGTCTAAGGCTCCGATAAAAAAATAAATTGAAGTCTACTCGTCGACTTCTACAAAAATCAGCGTAAAACAATATTAATTAACTAATGAATAAATAAATTAAACAAAAAAAAAAAAAAAAAAATTGAACCGGACGTCCGGTCTAGGCCCCGATAAAAAAATAAATTGAAGCCTACTCGTCGACTTCTACAAAAGTCAGCGTAAAACAATATTAATTAACTAATGAATAAATTAAAACTAAAAAAAAAAAAAAAAAAATTATTGAACCGGCGTCTGGTCTAGGCGGTGTAGTGGTATCATAGTACCCTCCCACGGTACTGACCAGGGTTCGATTCCCCTGGATGCGCAACTCTTTTTTTTTATAATTGGAAATTTTTTTTTTATTTTGTACTATATTAACTTTTTAAAAGTTTTATTTGGCTTCTTTCTCGGAACTACGTTATCAATATGTTATTACGAAAAGCCTGTAATATTTGGGGGAATACGATGCTACACCTGGTGGATTTTTCCCGGGTGACTCTTTTCTTGGACATGTGTCCTTTTTTATTAATTTTATAATATATTTTTTAAAAATCC